CGGGAGATGACGAGGGACTGAACGAGTATCTGGGTAGCCTGTGTGGAAAGAAATGGACGTATCCTTCTGATATTAAACAGGAGAAACCGACAAGAGCGGGAAACGTTGGCGATTTGTGAGGAAAAGGATAGACGATTGTCCATGGTAACCCCAAGGTTGCGAGCAGTAACCGAAGGACGAATCCTCCAACGAAGGCGCATCAATGGGATTCAGGGGATCCTCGAAGTATTCTTTCATCAGCATAAAGAGCAGGATATCTATTAGTACTGAGAGTACGAAGAACTACGGCAGGCTACAGAGCATTCTCTTATAGAGCGCCACAGCTATGAAATAGTCTTCCAGTGGATGTGCGAAATTCAAATTCATGCTCAATAAAAACACACTTAGTCTAGCTTATAGGGACTCCAGTTCTAGCTCTAGCTAACTGCTCACTCCTAATTAGACCTATAGAGTAGAGCTGGGCGATATCATATCGATATTATATCGCGCATGCGCAATAATTACTAGGGCTTCAGATGACAGGCGCAACATTTGGCCATGAGCCAGCTTTTCGGTGCTATACGGACATTTATTTACACCCACAATTTAAGCAGTTTAGTAGTATGGCTAAAATATTAATGAGGCTTTGTAAGATGTCCAAAAGTCATTATTAGTATAAATACGGCATATCCTTATGTTTAATAAATGTGTCAGACTTTGAACTGAAAAAAGTACCACCACACCGCCGACGTCTTTTTACGTTGTTTATCCAGAATATCTCCTCTTTTAAAAGATGTTGTGGCTGCTCTTCTTCACCGCGACTTCAGTGCATATTGCGATTGTACAGACATTGAGATATACCAAAAAGGTAGTATAGAAAAACAGTATTATGTGGGGTGCTCCGCTAATCGAATTTAAGAAACATAAAGTTTATACGTTAGTATATATATACATACTAACTTTTGGGAATCACAAAACGCATCTCATTAATATTTAAGCCATACTACTAATCCTCTTACCAAATTATGGCCGTAAATTAATGTCCGTATAGCACCGAAAACCTGGTGTCCGGCCAAATGCTTCGTCTGTCACCTGACCAGGGCGATGATTATTGTGCATGCGCGATAGAATATCGATATGATATCGTTCAGCCCTACAGAAGCCCTGCTTCCCCCTCCTGAGTCACCTGATGGTTTGCCAGATGGTTTCTTCAAGGCTGACCAGAAGTCCTTCTCCATAGCCTCACCAAACTCCTCCCACAGCTGAATTATTGCTCCAACAACCACCAAAGCTGCTTTCCGTTTGGCTTGCCGGTACCGGTCAGCTGCTTCAAGAGTCCCACAAGCCAACCAAGCTCAGAAGGCCTCCTTCTTCAGCCTGACAGCTCCTGTTACCACTGGTGTCCACCATCAGGTTCTGGGATTGGGGGCGCCAACAATCTTACAGCCACAGCTCTGCGATGCCGCCTTAGCAATGGAGTCCCAGAACATGGCCAAGTCAGGCTCAATGTCCCCTGACTCCCTCAGGAGAACAGGAGTTCTGCTGGAGTTGTGAGTTAATTACCTCTGCCAGCCACTCCCAGCATACCCTCACTATGCATTTGGGTCTACCAGGTCTAACAGGCATCTTCTCCCGCCATTGGATGCAACTCACCACCAGGTGGTGATCAATTGACACCGCAACTCCTCTCTTCACCCAAGTGTCCAAAACATGCAGATGCAGATCCGATGATATAATTACAAAATCGATCATCAAACTGTGGCCTAGGGTGATCTGGTGCACTTATGAGCACCAAGAGCACTTATGAGCACCCATATGTTCGAATATGTTGTTCATTATGGACAAATTCTGGTTAGCACAGAAGTCCAATAACTGATCACCGCTCGATTCCGATCAGGCAGGCCATTCCTCCCAATCACACCCTTCCAGGTTTCATTGCCATTACCCACGTAAGTGTTAAAGTCCCCCAGCAGAACAATGGAGTCCCCAGAAGGAGCACCTTCCAGCACTCCCTCCAAGGTCTCCAAGAGGGCCAGATACTCTAAACTGGTGTTTGGCATGCATGCGCAAACAGTCAGAGCCCTTCCCCTGGCTCGAAGTCGAAGGGAGTTGACCCTCTCGTTCCCTGGCACCGAACTTGGGGGCTATAGCAGACCCACCCCTGCCCAGCACCTTTGCCCATGGACAACTCCAGAGTAGAATAGAGTCTAGCATTTCTCCCGGAGTTTGGCCCCAGAGCCCAAGCCGTGCATTAATGTGAGCCTGACAATATCTAGTCAGTATCGCTCTACCTCCCACACCAGCTCAGGCTCCTTTCCCACCAGAGAGGTTACGTTGCATGTACCTAAAGTCAGCTTTGGTTGCCGATGATTGGTCCATTGAGGCCTCTGCCTTCAACTGTCACCCGATCTACACTACACCAGACCCCCACAGCTCCCCCTGAAGGTGGTGGGTCCACAGGGGGGTTAACCCATGTTACTCCTTCAGGATTTGCCCAGCCAGACACCATGGGTGGAGGCACAGTCACCAGGCGTTTGCCTTCCTGCTCCTGTCCCAGGCCTTGCTAGAATGGTGAGGCCCTGGTCTCCCCAATCCAGGTTGGGTAACATATTCCTTGGTTTTATCTTTCATGAGGGTCAATATGAACCACACATAGTCTGGCCACTCACCTAGGACCAATTTGTCTTGGGAGACCCTACCAGGGAAAATTGTCCCCGACAGCACAGCTCCTTGGATCATAGAGGCATGCAAACCCCTCCACCACATTAATGTGATTATTCATGGAGCTAATTAAGTTAAGACACAAGTATGACAGTGACAAGCCTAGAATAAACCATGTCAATTGGGAGCAAATGCAGACAGAGAAAAAGATAAAGAAAAACACAGGAAGAGAAGAAAAAGGGCAGCAGCAGAAAAACTGACAGTAAGATAGACAAACAGTACACGAACAGTAGGTTACCAATGTTACACATGTAGACTGGAGATTAACATTCATGCAGAGGGAGACAGAGAGAGAGGGGGAAATGGCTGTGATCCCTCTCAATAATGGAAGCTTGAAGTTAATTAAGCATGATAAAAACAAATACTGGTTACCTTATTCTGCAGTTTTACTAAAACAGCTTAAAACTGTATGAATATCACCTATGGCAGAGGTTCTCAACCTTTTTTGCACTGTGATCCAATTTTTACCATGCCAGCTCAGTCGTGACTCTACAGGTTTTAATTAATGCTATGATGAGGTACACAGTGCATACTTCAATTTACGGCAATCAATGCCTATCGCACAAATCTGATTGGATGTGCCAGTGAATTTTAAGCACCTGTGGTTTGGCTTCTTGGATTGATTGAGTGTTCACTAGTTTTGTGGTATGCATTTGCAAACTCAAGGATAATTCTAGGATTGGGGCTGGGAAATCTGATCATGGATCAGCATAGGAGCTTGCTAGTTATAAAATGCTTACATTTTCAACTCTGCCTCGAGACCCTTTCAGAACTTGCCGCAACCCAAATCTAGGTCAAGACCCATGGGTTGAGAATCGCTGACCTATGAAACACTTCTGCACTGTAGTACTATTTCAGTACACCATCTAGTGTCCTGAAATAAAACTGCAACTGGAAGAAGTTCACTCAAACCACACTATACTCTGTACTAAAAGTTCAGGGTAGATGTCTTGTAGCTGAAGGAAAGAGAAGGTTCAGCTGGTACCTGACATTTTCTTTCGCCTGTCATAGTTCTCAGGAAATGTGTAGGTGGGCCGGTAAGGATTTTCCTCAGGAGAGTCTGAATGAAATGAGCAGGAGACATAAAACAACAGGAAACATATAGACAGACAAACAGACACACACACACAAACACATACACACACTCAGATTACTGAGGACAAGACAGGGAGCGACTGCATGACATTAATATGAAAAAGAGACGTTGATACACACAAGGAAAATAGAACACAGAGACACTCTCACACCTGACGAATTTTGCTATGTTACTTATATTACTAATTGTTCTATGATTTTGTAACACAGAAATCCTAGCTTGTGCCGCCTCATGTAATAGTAAAGGTAATTAGAAAACTACCCTACTCTCCCACCCTGTTGAGACCAAAAGGCAAGGTGCTATTCAATCAGCAAAAAAAACTAAGCAACCAGACTGCCACAAGAAACCAATTTGTCCATCACCATCTTCTGGTCCTTGTGTCTTTATCTCATGGATCCTGCCTTGCTGTGATCAAACGTGGTGTAGTGTCTTAGGCAGGGCTGGACTGAGACCAAAAAATGACCCTGGCATTTTTCGGTCATGGCGGCCCACTATGATTATTTATACGATATGCGAAAGCACATGACATAGAATATATGCGCACGTTGTGTGATTTCAAAAATTTAAATAAAGCGCAGCAGCGTACAAGGAAGAGAGTAACCATGTTAAAAAATGTATATGCTCTTTCACTACTCAGGGATTCATCTTGGAAGAGATGGCCACACTGTCACAATTCCAATGCCCCATAGAGAGAAAGAGAGAGGCAGGAACGTTAATTTCACTAGTGTTATTTCTCTGGTTATCTATCAATGATAAATCATCCATTTCAGCAAAGCAAAGTTTTACTAATATTGCATGATAATACAACTGTAAGCTGTAACACCTGCAAACTGTAACTTTATGGTAAGCTAAAATACCACTAAGTTGGACACCAAATCTACTCATAGCATTATTTAAAAATGAAGGCTATAAAGGCAATTCTCTCTCTCATACACACACAGTTTGTGCACAAAACTGTAGTTTTGTGCACAAATGACACATAACTCTATAGGCCAATATTATTATGAATGTTTTAAGTCTGACTGAATAAAATAAGTCTTGTAATAATTTTCTATGTTTAGCATTTGCACACTTTTGACCCAGATACCATTTTGTGAAGATGTGTCTAATAATTTTTATCATTTTAAAATTGTATTAATTCTAACTCTTCTAACTTTTTTACATTTTTTGTTTTAATTCACTATTATTATTACACACATCCAAAATCAGTGTCATTAACTTTGACTGTGTGCAAGCTTATGTGTAGGCAACCTCCCTCCCTCACACACACACACACACACACACTCCAGCCCTTTGCACTCCCTACATGAAACGTCCCTCTTCATTAACATTTCGGCTACTTTTTACCAGGCTGCACAGTAGCTAATCTGACCTCTGACCTCAATCTTTCCCTGGGCCATGTCTCTCTCCTCATCCTCCTCCTCCGATGTATCTCCCTGAATCGCTAATTCTGCCTCCTCCTCCGGCCCTACACCAGCTGCTGCAGCAGTAGAACTTGTGGTGGCAAACATAATCGGTAAGTTTTGTGCATTTTGCTGTGTCCACTTGAAGGTTTTTCTGAAGCCTATTTTCTCTGAGATTTTCTGCGCCCCCCCCCTTGCACTTTTTTGGTTTGTCCATACCCACTCCTCTCTAACTCCGGTCAGCTCAAATGGCAAAATTTGACAACCTTGGTAAAGGGGAGGGAGGAGCGGGCCGAGGAGGGCTGAGAGACTTCATTGGATTAGCCCAATGTCCTTCAAGAAAATCAACCAATGGGACTTTGCGGTTGACAAAAAATATTTATAATATACTTTTTTGGGTAAATTATGACAGCCCCGGGCCAGCCCAAAAATGTGCGTCGGCCCACCGAGCATTGTCCGGTACACCAGATTGCCAGTCCAGCCCTGGTCTTAGGCCCCGTTCACACCTTTTGGTCTCAACAGAGCAGAAGAGTCAGGTATCAAACATACGTTAAGAGGAGAAGATTGAGAAGACTGAGATTGAGAAGATTGAGCGTAACAACATCTACTGCACCAGAGAACATCATCCAGAAATAAACTCCTTCCTCCCAAAGAGAGTGCCTCTGGTCTACTTCATTGCTTTAAGGGTGAAACAAAGGAATCGAGTACACCCAGCACATCACACTCAGCAATGGATAACAGAGATATACACTCTCACACCCAACACAGGGGTACAGCCATTACCTGGAACTTTGTGTATCTGCTTAAACATACTCTTGTACCAGTCCCGGGACTTCTCTGTATTCTGGAAATGAAGAGGACAGGATGAGTTTCGGCCATATTGGCTGGCAGGTCACTTTGCAAAATAATATTAAACTGGGAAGAGGATGACCTGAATACCTCCCACACAGACAGCCGAGTTAAAAATGATTTTAAAAACAGAAGTTGGTGTCGTGGCTTCTGAAAGCTTCACAAGATCTGGTGCAATCAATGGGTTCAGCAGCCAATGAATTATAAGGAAGTAATTCATATTAGTACATTTACCATTTCAGTTTTTATATACAAACTAGAAAAGAACTTGTCAGAAAAACATCAATGACAGCCCCAGACAGCCCTGTCTCTCCCTCACCTCATCTTATCCTTATTCCTGCCACACACATGTCCAAGCCGCTACAATTTCTATAACTACTGGATGGATCACCTGAAAATGTGAAAGCCAATAAATGTCTTAGTTGTGACAGAAAACTCTGAAACTACATCTATTCTTAACTTTATTCCTTTGTGTATGTCTTAATGTCCATGTCAAAAATATTATTTATATCGTTTATATTTGTTATATGTTTAACTTTCTATTTTATTTATTTCTCATTTTCACTATGACCAATGTTTTCTGTGATATAACAGTAAGACTCTGATGTGATTTTCTTCTGAAATCAAATGTTACTGTTTTCTAGATTGTTTTTGACTGTACACACACACAAGCTCCAGTTAATTGACAAATTTTGGCCCACAAGCACAGTGGGGTGAATATAAAATTTGTATAATTTACCAGACTTGGTACAAACTTGTAAAAATTAGACACTAGCAAACAATCAAAGAGTTGTTATATTACTTTGGAAATAAACATATATTTATTATAACACAAGACTAGTTAAGATAACCATAGATACAAATGCCAAAAAAGCAGACAAAAAATGACAACGTATTCCCTGGCTGACCCAACTTTAATTGAATTGCTCATGATAAATTTGGCCGACCAGCAAAAATGAACTTTACTTATGATTTCAATTCCAAGGCAATCGGTCTCAAAATTTGATCACTTCCAGTTTGTCACCCTTACAATGTGCCTGCAAAGTTTCAAAAAGATACATTTAAAAGTTATTTTGTTCACAAAACCAAGAGCCTTCTACAACTGTTCTTTCCTTCTTTTTCCTGCTTCATCTTTGTAGTACTTTGTCTAAAAATAGAATTAGGTTGTACATCTTCATCCATATAATGTTTTTGTAAAGTAGTAATAAGATCCATCAAACACCTTTCAACTTATCACATTTACAATGTCAAATGCTTGTACCCTTCCTTTTGTGCCACTAAGCAGAATTGCTTCATTTTTGGGGTTATTTGCCTCACAATTTGACCAGTTCCAGTCGTTTACTGATACAACATGACCGTAAAATTTGAAAAACATCATTAAACTATTTTTTGAGTAATCCCACTAACGACAAAGCATCTGCAGTGGTGTTGGACAACACCCAAACCCATATGTACACTATATAAGGGGCAAACCTCTTAATCATTGAATTGTTGAATTGAAATGTTTTGTTTGGACCCAAAGCTACAGGTATATAAAATGAAGCACCTAACCGTGCAATCCGGTATACAAACATTTGTGAAAGAATGGGTTGTTCTGAAGAGTTCAGGTAATTCAAGAGTGGTACTATCATATGATGCCACCTTTACAATTGTGATGTTCCTCAGTCTACCTTAAGTAGTAATACTCCAAAGTGTTTAGGAACAAAATTGCAGAGATGCATAGTGCGTAAAAGTAACCAATGCTCTGTTGACTCAATAACTTCCTCTGGCATTAACCCCTGCACAAAACTGTGCATCACAAGCTTCAAAGCATTGCCAAGTAGCTGCATACAAGAGTTACATAAGCAAGCGCAATGCCAAGCATCAGACAGAGTGGTGTAAAGCACACTGCACTAGACTCTGCAGCAGTGGAAATATGTCCTGTGGAGTGACAAATCACACTTCTCTGTCTGGCAGTCTAATGGATGAGTCTGGATTTGGTTGATGCCAGGAGAATGTTACCTGCCTGATTGCACTGTGCCAACTGCACAGTATGGTGGAGAAGGGAAAATGATATGGGGTTGTTTTTCAGGGGTTGGGCTAGGCCCCTTAGTTCCACTGAAGGGATATTTTAATGCTTCAGCATACCAAGACATTTTGTGCACAAAGCAAGGTTCATAAACACAAGGTTATGTAAGTTTGGTGTGGAAGAACTAGGCTGGACTGCATAGTCAATTCAGCCCCATCAAAAACTTTTGGGAGGAATTAGAACAGAGATAGTGAGCCCGGCCTTCACATCCAATATCTGTGGCTGATCTCACAAATGTTCTTCTGGATGAATGGGTAAAAATTCCCACAAACACACTACAAAATTTTGTGGCAAGCTTTCCAAGAAAAGTGGCACTTGTTATAACTACAAATGCAAGACCAACTCCATATTGATGCTATGGATTTAGAATGGGATGTCATAGTTCCTGTAGGTTTAATGCCCAGGTATACTAATACTTTTCTCCATACAGTGTATTTTTCTATTACATGAAGGCAATGACAAAAAAAAATCATTAATACTTTCTATAAAGACCACTTTTATTATGTATTATAAATACCTTCATAATGCATTACAATGCATCTATAATGCATTATCATGGTCAGAATAAGAATCAATAAAGCATGTAGGCAGCCTCTTCCATTGATAGCCCTAAGGCATAATTTTAATCCCCTTCATTTCATGACATTTTCACAATCCATCCATACCACCTGCCCAGTTCATACCTCGCACATCTACGCCCAGATTCTCATTGGCTGTGTCCAAATTCAGTGGTTGTAAAGACTGAATGCATCACAGCAATGTGACAATGCTGTCCCATTTCGAAGTCTCCTTACATGCGGTCTAGGAATGCATTCTTCGGATGGATCCTTCACAGCTAAACATATCCCAAGATTCATTGAGCAGACCTTCAAAGGTCTGCAAAATATGTGCAACCCCTCAATTTTGACACAGCCGTTTTCTGGCACTGCCCGATCCATTCATTCTGCCATTTTATGGAAAACCATAATAGCTGTGTCTGAATTCAGGGGCTGCATCCTTTAAAGGATTTACAAAGTTTACAAAGCTGTAGCCTTTTTTAGGCTGTGTTCTTTGAAGGTCGAAAAGAAAGCATTGTCAAATGGGACATTTGGTTTAATTTGGTTTAATTATGGTTCTGCTGGCAGAAGGCTACACTGAGCAGCAGGTTGCTTCGGGGTTCAAAATTTCTAAGACAGCAGTATACAAGAATATCTTATCCTTAGATAGGCCACGCCTATCTAAGGATAAGATGTGCTGTTTTTAATGTGAATATGTGATGTAATGTCTGTACAAAGTGTAACATCTGTTGCGGTGCAACCCAAAACACCTGTATCGTATACTGAAGTGAGTCAGCCACATACATAATATAAGTAACTGTTAATCAATTAATACAGATGGTATGAAGTGTAAACCTGTGAAGCGGATATGGCATGTTTGGTGTCAAACTTATTGTTGTTTAGGTTAAGCTGTTAGTTGTAGTGTTAGTTAGGAATAAATGCATGTCTTTTATACAATTTCAGCCTCCGTTTATTGAATGCTCACAATAGTCACTGCCCCTGTGCGAACTGGCTACTACGCTCTAAAACCTCAAACTCGCCTGAAATATCGCAAGATTCTCTCTCGACTGCCGCGAGGAGAGCTTTGCTACCAATCGTTTACATTACCTGGTGATACAGCTCGCTGGACGAGACTTGTAACCCAGCTTACTAAGCGATACTGGTAATTAGTGAATCCCACGTAAGTCTCACATTAACAGACTCACGGGGATCCCGCAATTGAGTTTGTAGGAGCCGACCATTTGGCGTAACAATTGGATAATCAGCACTAAATAATAATTAATTAAAATTTAATTAATTTCAAAACATTTTGGAGGAGATATTAAAATTTACCTGAGCTAATAATTTCTACACCGGGCCCTCAGACCACCCTCATGAAGTCTGTTTCTTATTGCTTGGTTAGAGACATTCACACCAGTGGCCTGATGGAGGTCATTGTGTAAGGCTCTCGCAGTGCTCATCTTGTTCCTCCTTGCACAAAGGAGCACATACTGGTCCTACTGATATGTTAAGGACTTTCTATGGCCCTTTCCAACTCTCCTAGAGTAACTGCTTGTCTCCAGGAATCTCCTCAATGCCTTTGAGACTGTGCTGGGAAACACAGCAAACCTTCTGGCATTGGCATGTATTGATGCACCATCCTGGAGGAGTTGGACTATCTGTGCAACCTCTGTAGAGTCCAGGTATTGCTTCATGCTACCAGTAGTGACACTGACTGTAGCAAAACTAAGAAAACAGTCAGAAAAGATGAGGAGGGAAAAATGTCAGTGACCTCCACCTGTTAAACCATTCCTGCTTTGGGGATCTTCTCATTGTTGCCCCTCTAGTGCACCTGTTGTTAATTTCATTTAACCACTAACAGATATGAATAGAAATATGAATGTATCCTTATTTTACTTACAGCAGTCAACACCAAAGCAGCTGAAACTGATTAACAACCCCCTCTGCTACTTAACTGACCAGATATCCCAATAATATCCCAAAAGTTTAACTGACTTGATGCTATACTTTGATTAAAAAGTGTTCCTTTAATTTTTTGAGCAACGTATATGCAGTATATTGCCAAAAGTATTGGGATACCTGCCGTTACACACACATGAACATTAATGACATTAATAATGACATTAATAAGTGTTTGGAACACCTGAATTCAATGATTTGGAGGGGTGTCCCAATACTTTTGGCAATATAGTGTGTGTGTGTGTGTGTGTATATATATATATATATATTCACAGATGCACACCCATAAATTGAGAAATGACTGAAACGAAAAAGTATGCTGTGGTCACAGCAATTGATGGCTGTATATGAAATGTTACTTTACATTATATATTCAGTTAAATTTGCTGCTATCCAGGGACATTTTGATATACTTTGGTATATTCTGAATTGAAATATAAAGTTTGACATATTCTTATACATAAATAACATATAGTATAACATATGTTTACCTAGTTATTTATTCTGTTGGCATAATCTACTGATTTATTTGCAGTATATTAGTGACATCCATCAATGATACATACAGTCACCTCAGTGTGACTCAAAAGTTCAGGCGCTATGCATAACTTTTATTAAACACAGGGAACACAAACAATCAAAAATCAGAATATCTGGCTGAACATCCCATTCTAGGTTGGTGGACCTCATTTACAAACATGTCTGTAAAGTGAACCTGATGTCATGAAGAGATATATTAATGTAATCAGGGATATTTTCCAAAAGCATAGTTTCTAACAACGTTAGTAAGTTACATAATTGGAAACATGCAACTGAACAGTTTCTACCATAAAAATTGCTAAAATAACATACCCCAAGTCTGGCCTTGAAAATGTGGTGGGTACAAATTGGGCACCATCGTAAACTATGCAGTAAAGTGTAATGCTGCACATGCGTAGATATGTAAGGTACAAATCAGGCAGGTGTCCCTCATCATTTTACCTTAGCTACTCATGTTTGTTAAAAACACAATCCCGACAGCTCATCACATGGTCGGCTAATGAATCTAAATTCTAACAAACCTTGGTTTAAATCATTTTAAATCGTGAAAATGTTGCATCTCGAAAATCCAGCTGCAGCATACAGGAAGTCACTGCACATGTAGGCTAAATACTCACTCACCTACTTATTCACTCCTTTGGGTCTCTTGCTCAGAGCTAGAACGAGAAACCCAAAGGAGTGGAGAGACTCTCATTCACTCCTTCAGGGCTCTCGTTCTTCTGGGGTGCATTTCCCAAAAGCTGTTAGCAATTTACATAGTTGTCCCATTCAGTTGCATGGTATTAACATTATAAATGTATAATTTACATTGAATAATTTAAATAATACAACAATCATAAGTCAAACTCAAATAACAATCATAAGTCAAAAGATCGATAAATTTGGATGAATTATGTATAACAGAAGTGGTACTAAATAGAGAGCCATTTGAAAGTTTAAAGAGTTGACTCAAATGATCTGGCTCACTAAAAACAGCCGGAATTCCCATCACTAAATGAGAGACTTGGTCATTCACTCATTGTAGGTCTATACATTCAGTTCTAAATTTAATTTCCAGCTAATCATAAGCTTGCTTACAGCACGTCCTATTACATGCCTCGCTGCCTGTCACTGGCCATAGTCGAATAGGGAAGCAGTATTCACATCAATTTTCTGAGGAAAAATTTAATGAACTAATCTTTGCAGGGAAATGAACGTGAATGCATAGTTCCTGTAAGGGACTTTTTCCCTGTGAATGAATTGTTTGTCAACGTCACACCATTATCAGGTAGTTACAGTGTGCTTTTACACTAAAAAAAGATATTTGGTCAAATGTGTCCCAGCCCACCTTTGCAAATGGTTTGAGTGATCAGATCACAATGTGTCTTGGTGGTCATTTACACTTGTATTTAGTCCTGTCCACTTGTGATCCAATTGTCCAAGGTGCATTTTATAACCAAGTGTAAACAGGGCCTGTGACAAAATTTAGTCATTGATGTCTTACTTTATTCTAACCTAACATGGTCAAATTATAGCATAAGAGAAATTGCACTCGTAGTATTTCTTTTTTCCTAATTTTTAATCTGAAACAAATAATACATTTGTGTTTCACAATCGCCATGCAAATGTAATTCACTGAAACATGCTTCAAAACTTACTAGGGCAAGTTATAACACAATATAGATATGAATGTATCCTTATTTAACTTAAAGCAGAAAAATGATATAAATGCATTATGGCACACTAAAACCAGTCTTCATGGTTTTGATAACAAAAAGAAGCAAGGTATTTATAATGTTTTAGGTAGAATCAATACAATGATTATGAGCTGTTGTGATGATGGAGCTTATGAATTAGACACTCCCCACTTAAAGACTGAGTTCTGTTCCTACGACTATGGCATTAAGCGAATTGGTCGATTAGCAAGGAGCCGTTCCCTTTCAGATATTTCAGGCATACTGTATTGGTAGTGGGATTGTGTCAACTATCCGTAAATATTGTTTTAATGTCACCATTGCACCATTTATAGTATTTTTAGTATATTTATGAATGTTTATACAGTAGTATATTGTATACTGTAATAAAGTATGGTGATGATATACAGTGCCCCTTTCCAACATTGAAAGGGAAATGATGAACCAACAATGAATATCATAAGAAATTTAAACACTGAAGTGATGCATGCTCAGAGATTGTAAATCAAGATTGATATATGGTGAAAAAGGAAATGTTGAACCAACACTTATATCCGGAGAAATTTCAACATTGAAAAGCATCCCTCTACCTCTATAGTGATTTCAGTTCGCAGCATTGGATGCATGGGGTATCTATTTATTTGTATCTATTTATTTGTTTGGAAGTATATTTATTCAGGAAAAAAATAACAAGGAAGTAAGTAATGTGAAAAAAGGTTGAAATTGTGCTCAGGTTCAAGCAATACAGACAGTTACACCTCCTTGAATATCTCCATTCGTGTTCACAAGGCAACTGGAACCTGTTTATGATCAATTTCTAAATATTCACAAATACTATTATATGTTTATGCTATTATATCACTTTTGTCAATTGTTAGAGGTTAAAGTTAATTTTATTTTACTAATGCTGTTGCAAAGCAGGTGGATCTCCCTTGAACTCAGCCTTGTGGTTGTTCCAGTGCAGCAAAAACAAGGATTGTGTAGTGCTCCTGAAGTTAGTAAATTTGTTGTTTTAAGAATGACTAAATGTTGCCCTGCTTGTGTAGGTTTTTTTTTTTTTTACTTGACCATCCACATGAGAAAGACTGTTCACTGAAGGACATGTATAGGAGATATATAGGGGATGCACAACAGACATGCATGCCCTATAGGTGACATATGCGATTGCTTAGGCCGCCATTTGACTAGGGGGCGCAACAGAGCCAGTGGGAAAAAATCAGAATACGTGATATGACAGTAATTTACACTATTTGTAATATTTCACTGAAACAAATGCCAGCTAGCTAGTTAGCAGCCAGATACCATGTGCTATGGTAATGTTAGGTGGGGGGGGGGGGGGCAATGTGCGTGGGGGGTGGCGCACCCAGAGCTGGCCCTGCATGCAAGCACAAGGGTGGCGCAAACCAATGCTAATTCAGTGTGTTGTGGTCTGATATAATGGTATGTAGGATCAGAGAAATTGGACGATGTGACAAAACGAGCAGAACTAAACCCTTATGCCTATACTATCAGGACAGGTAAATTTGTTTATAAGTCATATAAAACATTAGAAAAATTAAACAATTCCTATAATTAATAGGGGTATCCTAAAACTTTTGTCCATGTAGTGTATATTAATCTCAACAAATGAATATGTGACTGTTCTTTTTTCTGTATATGAATGTTTACAAATGTGTGTATTAATAAATATGCTTTTATGTTTCACTACTCTTGTTGGTATTGTTGGTTTAGAGTCCATAATTCATTTTGCATAGTTTCAACATTAAATCACTTAGGAATCAATCTCAGCTAAATATTGTTTCAACGTACAATACTTCAATAGTAGATCAGTGGTTGATTCATTGGCACAAAATACAACTGAATCAATGTTGAACCCTTGTTGGACATGGTCAGGTTTTCAACATTGAATAGATGGCCTTTACAACGAGCAAGATCAACTTTAAAACAATGTTGAAAATCAATGTGGTTTCAATTATTTTTTTCTGATGTTTATTCAATATTGTTTCAATGGGACTTATGTGGGTTAGGAGATCTCTTATCTAGCACAGCAAAGTTACAACCAGCTGGTCGATAAGTGCTAACATTAATCATCAACGGAATTACAAATAAATAATACGCTAACATATATTGACATGTATCACAAATTAACGTCACTGCAATCTCATGAATCACTGTTAGTGTCCTTTTGCACACTAACGAACCAAACCAGCGTATAGAAAATAAATGTCACTTGTGCATATTAACTATGATAAAAAACAAGTAAAAAAACTGTCAGCCATTGCTTACAAAGATGTAAGAAAAGTATAAGACACAGCAAAACTTTAACCTTGTGCACATCCATGCTTCATGCACTGCTGGAGGTTTGCTATCCCATGATGAAAAGCATATGCATCAAACTAAAGGCAACTGACCGAAATAAAAGTCAAACGCAAGTTCAGGTCGACTACTGCAAACAATGTACAACCTTCCTTCCCCGGCCCAAACCAATAAGAGAGCAGATCAAACAGGATAGTATAGAAATGGCGTGCTGCCACCAACAAAGTTCTCGTACAGCCTACAATACCGACTGGTTGGAGAACTGATCTGAAGTCTGGGTGGTCATTAAACAGGTAGGTCATTAAGTGAAGAGTATCTGTATTATAAATCAACACTATAGTGCCTTAATGTCAACAAAAGATGCCATAATGCTTTATTAATTCTTATACTAACTGTAATCATGCATCATGAATGCTTTGAAATGCATTATAAAGTTATTTATAATGCATTATAAAAGGCAGCTTCATAGAAAGTGTTACTAAAAAAATCTTTAGAGGAATCCTCAGGATTAAATACCCAAAATATTTTGATTAACCATTAATACCTATGGGTTTATTTTATGCCCCATCTGTGCTTCCTAATGCAGACAAGACGGTGGGTGCCTCTCACTGACTTCTTACCCTCATGGGGGTGCTGTTGTCATTCAGAAGCCCGCTGTTGGACCCCTGCATTGAAAGTCTCATTCTCTTGCCATCCATTGGAAGGATGTCAGCGGGAGATGAAGGGGGTGTAGTTGCTGTGCCAAGCTCACTGTGGCCCTCTGGTGGTGGATCTAGGAAATGAATAAACTCAGGCTGATTACAGGCTGTTTGAACTGGCTAACAGCATGAATATGAGGTTTCCGCCCCCTGGACAGCACTGACGTTTAACAAAATCATAAAAGTACTGCTGAATTAATTACATTAATGAAATCATTTGATCTTAATTTCTATCTTCAAGTTCATCCATATTGATTAGACCCTGTTTCATAAGATGGGTATACACGCCAGTGCTGTTCTGGTCTTACAGTGACAGTGCACCCTTTCAGACCATCTTTCCAGCAGCAACTACACATGCCACCCAACCAACAAACGAGCAACCAGGGCTCCAAAATGATAATGGGGGACAGGGCACTGTGTCAATCAACAGCATGTCCCACAGATGTCACCATTCATAACCTTTGACCATGGCATGACTGCATTGTCCCATGTAGTGTGTTTTATAAACATGCCCCTGGCAGCATACTGTACTTCATGATGAGGACACCCCCCAATCGTCAGCAGAGCTGGACAGTGCCCCCTGTAGGTAGTCTGTCAGTGTGGTCACTCCATCCAGAGCAATAAAATGGTGATGCAAGAAGGTCAAACACAGGCATACGAGCAGGACCACGTCACCATCATATCCCCATGCGAATCACCAAGAATATAACTGCCAGCACTTCAACTAACAGCACAGCAGTGTTCATAGCCCTCGTAAGGAGTCGCTAGTCGCATTAGTATGTTAAAAGTCATGCTAAGAAACCAAATGTACTGCAGCTTTACACGTGAGGCACACTGACCAGCAGCTGCTCCTACTAGCTGGAACTAGAGAACCCAATAAAAGTGCAGGATGCAGCACATAGCTTGCCATCATCAAGGTGACCATGTCACAGGACATGGGCAGAGAGCATGACATGTTTCTGTGACATCCCTGTCACCTGTGTTGCCGACACCCTCCTTATAGAGAGGAATGGAGGAATGCTATTAAGGCTTCTTTTTTAATGAGGTATAACTATCATTGACATTTGTCTGCAACGTCACATCTGTGCCACTGAAATGATATTAAGCAGTAGTGAAAGTGACCTGGACTTCCTGGACCTCCAGTCTGCTTTTGTCTGGGTTTAGCCGAACAGACAGCACGTGGGTGTTCAGTGCCCTCATGTTAATGTACTATGTGAACTATACTAGAGAAAGTAACATAGAACATTCTACTTCAACACAACAGACACAAAGCTGCCACTTTTCTGAAGAGGGAGATGACACTACCATTTTATAGGCAGAACTTCATGCAAACCATGCTGGATGCACATAAAAGATGCTGGATGACAGATGAATCACAGAGAACACATTACATCACAGAATCCCTAGAGCAAACACATTCTGATTATATTCCTTTTATATAACAAGCAGCACAAAATACTTTTTATGTCTGAAACATTGGAATTATTGGATTTGGAGACCAAACTTTGAACAAACCTGTGTTTTTTCTCCAGTGACCTGTAGGGGACAGTCTCTGTTTGCTTTTAGATGCAGCAGCAAGCAGAATTTACTTTCACTCCGATTATACTGAAATCCTGACTCACTGCAGTCAATAGTCATGCCAGGGCCCTCATCACAGCAGGGCAGCCCCACCCAGCTCCCTGTCCTCTACGCACAACACAACATGCTTTCAACTCTGCAAATGAATTCTGAATCGGAAATAAACTTTCAATGTAATAAGAGTTAAATATCCTGAATAGAATATACTACCTTGTTCTCCATATTTATTATCCTTCTTGCATCCCAAACGGATTCCGAAAAGACATTATACTGTAGGCTGCTGGACATGTTGTTTACAGCACTGAATACAGTACAGATCCCTTTATATCTGCAGCCAATGGCTCGTTCTCTCAAGTAAATGATGGATACACTCTGTCCTCAGACAGGAAGCAGGTCACTGTCACCAGATGCCCACCCCCTCACTGTTTCCCCACTTCCTGTCGGAGGATACAAGAGGCATTGTTGTGTGTTCATGTGATTTATGAGGAACAGCTAAAGCTCAGATCCTGCTGCTAACTGGAACTGCGTCTCATATTGTCTTAACAGGACAAAGCAGAAGGCCGATGGGACAGCACCCAGATGCCTCAGATCTCAAGAGGATGCTGAGGCTGTAACCCTATCACTACTGGGGATTATAGCTTTCATTCTGACATTAACTGGTCTTAGTCTGAGGTTTATGCTAGCATATTCTGAATCCTGTCAGGAGAGAGAATGTGTTTGCTGAAGGTAAGCTTTTGTACAAAGGAGGTGAGCCAGCAGGTACACGCTTAGGGAGCTGTTTACCAGACCTTCACTGCGTACCTTCCAGAATATTTACACGCTTTTGTTGTTCTGTGGCAAGAGAAGAACAAAGGTCAAACAAGACAAAACAAACTTGACAACATTCATGGTGATATACGGACAACAGTGTAAAAGTACACGACACAGATGGCAGCTGTAAAGGTACACAACACAGCCGGCAACCGTAAAGGTAAACAATGTAAGATGGCAGCTGTAAAGGTACATGAGGCAGATGGCAGTGGTAAAAGCACATGATGCAGGTGGCAGCTGTAAAAGTACACGATGTAGACAAACAAGATATAGACGACAGTGGTAAACGTACACGACGCAAGCGATAGCAGTAATGGTACACAACACACACAGCAGCCGTAAAGGTATATGATGGACATTGCAGCCGTAAAGTTGCACAATGCAGAAGGCAGAGATAAAGGTACACAACGTAGATGGTAGATCTAAAGGTACACAACACAGATAGCAGTGGTAAAAGTACAGAACACATATGGCAGCGGTTAAGGTATATGACACTGCAGCTGTAAAGGTACATGACGCAAATGACAGCAGTAAAGGTACACAACTCAGACAGCAGCGGTAAAGGTACACAGTACAGTCCATGGCACTGTTACACCCCATGTCCTTCAGATCATAAACCGGTAGAGTCATCAGGAATCAATTTTTTCCATCAGAGGATTCCAGGAAAATATCAATATTATACAGCAATATTCATCTTATGCCGAGTGGAGTGTTTTCTTGTTCAAGAAGTAAATGTGTTGTTTAGCAGGGCCATATGGAACAGGTAACCATGTGAAGAGCACCTTCCTCTGCACAGTGGGGGCAGGAGTGCAGTGGGAATGGTAACACATTGCACTGCATTTCATTCTTTCCAAAGTGGACCTTGGGCAATACGAAGAAGTAGCCCCAACCCTGAGGAAAATACCTAAAAACCCTTCTGTCAGTCCCTGTGTTAAGCTAGTTGTGTACTTAAGACGAAAATTGACAGAATCGTTGTTATTTTGGCAAACTTTTTTGTTTGTTCTGATTCCACTTACTGTCCACAATTGGCTGACATAATTTATGTTGGTCAGCAGGACTCTTTATGCAGTTACCAGCATGCATTACACCGCACTGTGCGCACCGTTAAATATCATAAATTAATATGTGTATTAGTGCATTTCTGTTGATAGTAAATGTTGTATCCGTGTAATGTTTTGTTTTGTTAGAGTGCAACAGTGAGAGTTAATATTTTTGGCTTCCTTGTCTGTGCCACTACTAATCAATAGTGGCCAATATTGGCTGTTACTAAAGAGAGCAACTTCCATTTTTAAGAGCCGTCATCCCTTTTATTTTAATAACACACACTCACCACAATACGTTGCGCTCGGTATGTGCATCTGCTGCATTGAAAACATTCTGCATCCTCTAAAATTGTGGCATGACATAGAACAAACAAGGTGGCGACATAGTTTTTAGTATGACAGATTGTTCTTGCTGACGTGTTTAATTTCATTTGGTCGAGACATCTTTTGAAATATACAGCCATCTTTAATCACAGTCCTGTCACAACACATGCACCTCTGCATTTGCCCTTGCTGCCTTTTGCTATGAGCTGTTCATTCACAGTGGACCAGCCCCATAAAGCAGGCTGCTGACCGTTTGACCCTAGGACCCCACAGTACCACGCCTGCTTATTAAAGTCACCCAGCACTGAAGTTCGTGCTTCCATCCAAAGGTACCAGCTTCCTCCAGACTGTCACTGCCTGCTTCCTGCATCTCTTCCTAAGGTCAGTTCCTCTTTCACAGCATCACTACATTCTAATCAAGCCGAAGCTCATTCATAACTCACATACAGCCTGCTGCCACCCACAAAACAGGAAGATGGCATTAATGGATAAATATATACAGCAGCCACAAATTCACAAGCAAATTCCATGCTCTCAAGTCTCCCATGAGTCAATTTTCATTGACCAGCTTTGGCTAGACATGGGAGCTCAGCTCACCAAATCGATAATTGTGGCGAGAGGGGAGTGAGGAGTACAGGATCATTTCACAGGGAGGTTGGGGACTGCTCTGCATCCTTTTCTCTTTGCTTACATAGTGATTTCCTCACTTTATGTAGTTTTGCATTCATTTATCCTTCAATACATTTTGTTGCATTAATTTACCTTTCAATAAATTTTTTTGCGACTCCCTGTCCAGTTTTTTCAGGACACAGTACTGCACCTGGGTTACAGTACCTACACAATAGACGCTACCCCAAAGGGCGCCTCACCTCTGTTGTGCTGTAGAAGCACAATGGTGGGGTTGACAATGGTGGTGGATGGGTACGCAGAGGATGTCTTTCTGCTCGATGCTGGAACAATGAGCTGTTCTGATAAGGAAGGCAGGGCTTGACCACTCACAGGAGTAACCACCTAAGGACAGGAAGGACATCAAATCCAGCCTCTCCTAGACAACCCACCCCCAAACAGTGAGCTTCCTTCTCTCAGGAACAGAAACGAAATTTATTGTTCACTGAGTGCAATATGTAACTCAAATGGGAGCTCAGCATCTGTCTGCTTATTTCAAGAGCAAATACAAAGGCTGATACAGAACTTCTTAGGTCTCATAATTAGCCCTATGACAGTGATGAACATTTCTCTCTGCATTTTGATCTGTATTAGAGTGTGCAGTACACTCACAGTATAAACCCTGCTTTGGCATGACGATCGTGAGGCTGCAAGCCATTCATCTCAACCAGTGCATCACTCTTCCTCCTCCGATGTTAGCTTCTCCATTATACATATGCTCTCGCTGCCTTCTGAAATGTTTTACGTTTGTTTTATTTAAGTATTACAGATCTATTGTTCTCCATGTACATTACACTGTGTACGTCCTGGGTTCTTCATCTTGATAGAAATGTTTTGAAAAAATTATCAGTAATTAAGTTTTTCTTTTTTTTTTTTTTTTTTAGAAAATATGCATTTAGACTTAGAAAGACAAAAAAAAATCATGGAACACTGCATGTTCTTCCGGTAGTAAAAGTGCATTTCCTGTCTTACCTGTGACTCTGTCTTTCCACTTCTGGCTTCATTCAGTCTAGGACTGTCGGAGTACCTTCCAGCACTTTCCCCATAAGAGTCATCAAGCCAGCCATCTAAAGTAAACAAGTAAACGCAGTTAACGCTCAATGGGGCTGAACGGGGCCCAGACGCCTTTACAAACTTGTACAAGTACCTTCCCCTGAATCGTGGATTATGAATCTCTTTGATTTCCATGCCAAGCATTTGCCAATAACAGAGAAGAAGGAAAAAAAGTGTTAAATCTTGATACAGTAAGTCGCTGGTGGTTGCAAACAGTCAAAATTCTTCCAATGAAGTTCAACGTTGGCTCGGTTTGCTCACTTGCCGAGAAGCAAGATTCTTTCACAATCTGTGAACTTTGCAATCAAAACAGGGTCCCTATTGAGCAGAAAGCAATGAGCTTTTGTTCCCCAGCCCCACTATTCAGCTGCAGTGGCAGAAGCACAGCACCGTAGACCCAGAGAGGCCTGGCCCACCTCCAACTCGCTGCTGATGCTCCGAATACCACACATGCGTCCATATTCAAGGCTGACTTGCAGAACAGCGCCGTGGGCCGGCACAAACAAGAGGCTCTTTTCAGTAACTTGCTAGATTGCCAGAGCTGCTAGTAAACATTCAGGGAGCTGGGTAACCAGCTAATTTGGTAACTGAAAAACATGCTGTCAAACAGGGTTACAGCTACACAGTCCAGCCGTACAGCAAAAATTAAGTTTAACTTTGTCAGGTTACTGCTGTAAAGCCTGGTACTGCCACCTCCAGCTAACCACTAGTTGCTAGATGGAGAATGAGGCAGTAATCCACAGACAGAAGATTACCCCTATCTAGACAAATCAGAAAATACTGAAAGATGCATGTCTTAAATTAAGATATAACCTATTGATGCAAAAATATTAAAATTTGGAAGTTTGATCATAAAGATGTCCTTGATGATACTACTATACTGTAGCTATCACACTGCTGTCACGCACTCACCCACAGCGGGCTGCTGCTGCCCGTCGCTGCCATCGTCATCATCGATGTGGACAAGGGTGGCACGCAGGGTGACAGCGCCCCTTCCCTTGCACACCCTGGAGGGGTCCATCCCTGCAGAATGTGAAGTAGAGCATTACCCCATACTGCCCCAGGCACCCCCTTGGGCAGCTCAGGTTACCCACACTACCACCTCCCCCAGCAGCTGAGGTTTCCCCACATTCTCCCAGGTCCACACTGGTTTCCCCACAATCCTCACCGGGCAACTCAGGTTACTCCATATCCCCACCCCCATGCCCCGCAGCTCCCAGGTTACCCCACAGTCATACACAAATCTGCATCATTAACAAATAATTCAAGATGTTTTCAAACAAAGGCTGCTAATGAGAAGCATTTCAGGGACAAAAGGAAGCCCCATTAGAAGAATCACAGTGATGAAATTCAGAGTTATGTGAATACAGTACGTTAGAGGATCCCATTTAGAAAGCTGCAGTTAGCTCAAGGAAAGTCACATTACACAGATTGGCTGCTTCATGAGTGAAGCTAAAAGCTTCAGATCTGTATCCCTGGTGAATCAGTTCACAGGGGACTTTGTGTGGTCAGACAACACACCTGCAGCAGGCATTAAGTCCGGGCAGCTCTTCATCTCCTTCAGGGGCGTTATTCTGACAGCAGACACACTCCGTAGGACAGTCAGATCTTTAGGGGCTGCCAGACAAACATAAGAAACACATAACAGGGGTGGACCTCACACAAAATCCATGAATAGGAAGACAGAGGCCAGAGTGGAAAAACATGAGTTACAATGTAAGGGATGACATACACAAAACACAAAATGCTTTTAAAAGACATATAATGAAAGTACATTAAGCTCTGTTGCTGTCCCCATGAGCTGGTAAAACACTACAGAAAATAATGGTTTATGAAGGTAGTGCCATTTAATGAGCTTGCAAGTGACACAGATGAATGTCATGGCAAACAATGAGGGATTCTCACTCTGAGCTGTGAGGCTGAGGGGGGAGGAAACAGAGGGAAAATGCTAACAGAGGAGATTGTAGATCAGAGGAGAGTAGAGGAAGGACAGAGGTATGTGTGTGGACCACTGTATGACTGCTGTGTGCCAACCACAGTGTGACCACAGCACATAGACTGCTGTGTGCAGGCTGCTGGGTGAAGATTGCTGTCTTCAGACCACAGTGTGACTGCTGTGTGCAGACTGCTATGTGAAGACTGCTATGCGAAGACTGCTGCCTGCAGACCACAGTGTGACTGCTATGTGCAGATCACTGCCTTTAGACTGCTGTGTGCAGAATACAGTGTGACTGCTGTGTGCAGACCTCTGCAAGACTACAGTGTGATGGCACACAGCTGGCTGATGAGCAACACAGAGGCATGGGGGAATTTTAAAAGACCTGAGCTGTGTTGATTCACAGAACAAAGCCAATGTGATATTTAGTCTCTAAATGTGTTCAGTTTTCTCCTTTATAAGCTGTTAAATGTTTATTTGAAATAAGTGAGGGTGTTATCAGAAGAGGGACAGCAAATGAGGGGTCAGCAATCCAATAGGGAGATGCTTTTTTAATCTAAGTAGTGTAATGGAGGAACGAAGCCTCTCACTTTCGGCACAACAGAGTTGTAACTTACGGGGGGGACGGTACGGCCCCACAAAGCTCTCTGCTGGAAAACCCTGCGGACGAGAACATAAAATACTCAGGAGACTTCAGGCTGCCTTTGTGCCACATTCTTTGAGCCTAAAGCCAGCATGAGCTCACATGCATTCCCTGGAGTAACTCTACAATACACTGCCACCGGGACCCCACACAGCTTCTCCTCCCACCGTGGAGACCACAGCACCTTAAAGGGTATTGACTCGACATTCAGGGGCTTGGCAGACAGTTTCACGCTCTATATTACGCTCTACTCAGAGATGTGGCCAGGAACTGTCCATACATTACTAAATACTGCCCCTAGTGGGGTCCTGGCAAAAATTCAATGGTTTTGTTTATTCCCATAACCTCCCATATCAAAAACTGTATTAAAAATAACATAAGACTCTTATGCATTTTCTCCAAATCATATTCAAATCAAACTATTAATATAACATATTAACTTAAGGTGTCATCATACATATAAGTCTTTTATTGTTGTAAAATATAGTAAAATCCCGTTATAACAGACTTCCATTATATCCAGACTTGCTGTATGCCCAGAACACTACAGGACACCGTTTACAAATGCCACACCCCAGCAGAAACACTTGTAATATAGATTATAATATTGTACAGATAAGATAAGATAAGATAAGATAAGATAAGATAAGATAAGATAGGACTTTATTGATCCCACAGTGGGGAAATTTGTGTGTTACCACAGCTCTAGACAGATAGCCTGAAAAGAGTACAAATATATAAAAATACAAGAATACGAATACAAAAAAATAAAATAAAATAAGATAAAACACTAAACACTAAAACACTAAATACAGGTAGTAATCCAACTTTACTTGACCTGATGCGTGACTATTAATAATCCAGACTACATATCTGCGCTGGATATCACCAGCACGCCACGCGCCTTGTAGGCGGAGCCTGTATGTCCGTTATAGCCGAACAAAGCTACAGCTGAAAGCGGGGACCAAATGGTTTGTCCGTTATAAGTGAAATTCCGTTATATGCGAGTCCGTTATATCCGATGCTTTTTCTGCATGTTTGTAAAGGCGCATGGTCGGAACCAGCAGACCTCATCCGTTATAGTTCGTTATAAGCGAGTCCACTATAACGGGATTTTACTGTACATATGAAATTAATGTACCGTCAAACATACAAGTCCTATACTTATGTACAATCCATATAAAATGTATGTATCATTAGCCATATATGTCCTTTATTCATGTGAAATACTTATTACATTCGTGTTTTGTTAAACACAAGTTCTACAGTGATGTACAATGCATATTATATTAATGTTTTGTCAGTATTAGCTTTTATGTATGATTATTTTGCAAGTGACAATTGAATCATGTCACGGAGAATGGTTCTACGCAACTAGAATATGTATTTTGAAAAGGAAACATCCTCTTACAATTGATGCATTCACTTTGTGTTCTGAGAACATAATATGAATTTAGTCATGTACAATTCAACCAACTGAATGTGGAGACATCATACAGTCATGGCCGAAATTATCGGTACCACTAGAATTTTTCCAGAAAATGCACCATTTCTACCAGAAAATTGTTGCAATCAGAAATGTTTTGGTACACACATGTTTATTTCCTTCATGTGCATTGGATCAACACAAAAAAAAAACGGAAAAAGGCCAAATTTGACATCATTTCACACAGAAAAATGGGCCGGACATAATTATTGGCACCTTTTCAAAATTGGGGGTAAATCCTTTTATTTCAAGCATATGATGCTCATTTGAACTCATCTGTGGCAAGAAACAGGTGCTGGCAATATAGCAATCACACTTGAAGCCAGTTAAAATGGAGAAAAGTTGACTCAACCTTTCTGTTGTGTGTCTGTATCTGCCACACTAAGCATGGAGGAGAACAGAAAGAAGAGCAGAGAATTGTCTGAGGACTTGAGAACAAAAATTCTGGAAAAATATCAACAATCTCAAGACTACAAGTCCATCTCCAGAG